AACTTTTTACAACCAACTTCTGCTGTGCGAAGTGAATTCAATTTTTTCTCATAATTTTTATGGGGAATGTGGTTGTTTGTGTGCCCGGCAGCCGCACGCACACACATTCAATTCGTCCTTTCAATCAGGACGAGGCCAGGACTTCTTGCAACAATCGCACGTCCACATCCGCGTTCAACTGTCAGTCAAGTGGCCGACGCCTTCACCCACACGTCACTGCCACCGCCAGTGCCACAACCAATGCCACACCCACTTTCCACCGTCATCTTCATTTCCCACCGATACCCACCTACAGCACCCACTGCCCAACGCTCACCGCCCACCGCCTCCCGTCTTCTGTCTGTCACTTCAGAACTTTACTTGCCAGGCTCTCATCTCCTCCTGCTCCTCCGTATCCTGAATCCGCATTCAGAGTCCTCCAGTCTACGGGTCTCCAGTGCCAGTCCAACTTGAACTGAAAGTCGAAGTCAACTCGCCTGAGAGACATTGATTGACTTTCTTAATAGACTTTACGTCTTGTCAAAATTAAGGAGCAGCTCTACTTCGGAAGCTCTTGATTTTCCCATTCTCGGCCCCAAATCTTTATAGTTTTATTTTAGCCTCACAGTTAAGCCCCGTTGATAGATGGAATAAATAAGAAAAGGATTATAGTATGGATTAATTATGAAATCATTTTAAAAGGTTATGATTCAACAATAAGAACTGGATCTTCTAGCCCTGATTATGGATATCTTAGATTCATAGGAAATGGAAAATTTCTGTCTGTCTGGCTTCTACCACCCTTCCCAATGCCAAAAAACAAAACTAAATCCTTGTTAGTTACCCAATGTTCGATTTCCCACCATGATAGAGGGGTCTCTGTGTCTACTGCCACATTTGCGAAACAGCAAATGAATATTATTTATGCGCCTTGTTGGTGGATTCGCGTTTGCATCGACAAATCAAATTATCCGCAGCGTGAGACATTCGTCATGTCTAGAGTTTGGACATGGCCAAGGTTGGCCAATGTGCCCCCCTGCAACCCCCATGATTTCCATGCTCCCTGATATGGCCCCGTCCAGGCCAAGTCCGTGTCGGCCACAGTCACAGCCATCCGTCATGAGCGGTGACGTCGGCGTCCTCGTCGCCAGTCATCGTTCAATGCATGAAATCGAGTGCACTGGCATCGGATTTGAACAGTTGATGGATCAACTTGCGCACGTCCTCGTCATAACTCACAACACTTTCCGCTCACAGATGCCCTGTTGGCCTTCCATCCATCTGTCCATCTGTCCGGCTGTCTGTCCGTTGGCCAAGGCCTCCACCATTTGACGTTTGACGTGAGAGCACGTTTGATGGAAGATCTGTCAGGACGGGCATTGAGCCTTGTTCCAATTCGCTTGCAGCTTTAGCCTGTCTGTTTCAATGTTGGCCAATTTGCAAACTGAATGATTGTCGGTGGCTTTTGTTCTCGGTCTTATTCACGTTCACGTTTCATGTACGAACTGAGTAAGGCTGAGTAAGAATTTCTTCATTTTTAGATATGGCCCTATAGCCGAGCTGATTTATTGGCAATTAATAAAATTGAAGTGTCATAATTCACAAGGCGGCTCTTGTAAGTCTGAGCTTTGATGGGGCTATACTTTGTGGGATGTTTCTGGAAAAGTGTGAGAAACTAGACTATTATGTGGGGGATACAGACTGAAAAGAACTTAGGCCTCAAACATGCTTTTAAGTATTTATCTGACTGCTTTTTATTGTCAAACACATTTTATTACATCAACTGTCTGAGCCGCAATGCAGCAAGTCCTCAAAAGCAACTCGAATCAGTTTGATGGATTCCAGAGGGGGAATTCCTTTTGCCAATGATGATGATGATGATGAGGAAGATAAGTACGCCGCCCCTTGACTGGTTGGTTCGTCGGGGCCACAGGGCGTATGAGAGTCGGGAGGATGGCTTTTGATTGATTGATGACGAATCAAGCATCGTAATTCACGTTGAGAGGCAAACAATTTGCGTCCCCGCCAGCTAGAAGGTGAGAAAATGAAGCGTTCTGCTGCTCCTCGCTTGTTGCTCATCCTATACGGATGGTGGGAAATATTTCGAAAAATGCCTACACACTTGCCAGGTCCTTCGATTTCGAGACACACACACTCCACACAAACACAGAGTCGCAGAGACAGAGAAGTGGGACTAGGACAAGGCCGCAGCAGAATCAAGGAATTATATCGTAATAGTCTGCCGTGTGGCAAAGGCCACCAACCAGCTCCCACCTCCCACTTGCCACCACCCACCACCCGCCTAGCAACAACAAAGAAAGAGCAGCAGGAGTATAAAAAAAAAGGAAGAAAAAAAGTTTTGTGGAAAAATTGTTTTCCCTGCACAGTTCAGTTCGGTTTCGGTTGGAGTTGAATTTCCTTGGCGAGGCACAAAAACCTCCGAATAGCGATTTTTTCACGTTTTAATGTTGCCCCCCCACACACACACACACACATACAGCCATACGTACTCTGATATGCCACCTTCTTTCGGCTTGAGTGTGTGCGTGTGAGCCTTGGCAGCGAGTCGAGCGTCTGCCTGCCGTCTGCTTCAGCTTTTTCTTTTGGCCAGGCCCAGAGTTCAAGTTCCCTCAGTCCCAACCAAGCCCCTTGCCCCGCCTGGCATGCCGCCTCTGCCCAAGTTCCATTCATCGAACCCCGGAATGGCAACTTGTTGATTTTTGTATGAAATTCACATGCAAAAACCAAACCAATTTCGCCCTTCATTGGCGCTCACCAGTCGGCATTCGCTTTCTTTTTAGCTTTTTTTTTTTATATATATTTTCTTTTATTTTTTTTTGTTTCGGGTCTCCTCTATCTCTCTTTCTGTTTCGTTGTGTTTGTTTTGCATGGCTTTTATTCAGCTTTTTTTTTCCATGGTTTTCCCGCAAACTAGGCTGCTCCAACGGCGGCCAAAAAGGAAATCAATAATCGATTTTCCTGTAATGCCATCGTGGCCCTCTTTTATTTCTTTAAAGTATCCTTTCATTGCAGGAAGTTTATGTGCCTGTTGAAGGATTTAAAGGAAGAGTGGAAAGCCTTTTAAAAATGTTCCTACAAAATCTAATAATTACTGAATAAAATCATTAAAATGTAACCTTTATGTCTTAGACCTTGTCACATTTGCATATTTGCGGCCAAAGTCCTTTGGCTAAAAGTGAAACACGATCCCTCAGCCCAAAAGCCACAACCACATGCCACAATTTACGGCTCGTTCATCAATTGTGACAACGGCTCGAGTAATATCCTTGGACATTTCACGCCAAACTGAACGCAGACGACACCCAATCAAAAAGACTTGCCCCTTCGAATGCACACAGCCAGCCAGGGCTTAAAAAAACCAAAAGATATAAAAGAAAATAATACCAATTAAGAGAAATCGAAAACGTTGAGGCAAAAGTGAAGTTTTCGCATAAAAAGGAAGGGGTTGACATTTATTAATTTTCGATTAGCGACATGGAATTTGTGTGCTACCGAATATATTTTGCGAAAAGACTTTTTCGGTAGCCGATCGGAACGATCTGTGAGCTTAGCGGTGTTAAGTTACCTTTCTGTTTCTTTTTTTTATATTTTTGTTAAAAGACGTTCGTCTTCTAATGCCGCTTGACACTTGCCGCCAAGTGTAAGGGACGCCACTTCACGGCCCGTTGCAAGCTCTCCTTCTCAGCCTCTATGCCCCTCTGGTTGCTGATTTATGGCCATTGTATTCATAAATCAAGAAAAGGTTTTCTCTCGGCCTGATCTAAATACGCCTTAAAAGCGTCCATCAGCCAGAAAGTATCAGGCTAACTGGCTGATCGCTTAATCGAACCACGATCCAGTCAATGGCAACACAATTAACCCCAGGGGGCTTTGCCACAACGACCATGTAATCATAAGACAGACACCCACGCATTCCACTTGGTGCAATTGCAAGTTGCAAGTTGCAGGTTGCAGGTTTCTGGTTTGCTGGTTGCACTTTGCCTTTGTGGCAGCCAGACGGCTAAGTGTGTAATTGGATTGTCAAAATGTTAACGAAATCACGACTCTGAATTAAGGGGAAACAGTAGCTATTAGAGAGGGTTTTGTATTTTAAACTTTTTGCAAACTGCATCAGTTTGTGGCAGGACCTTTAACCAGCAATCCAGGATTGTAAATACCTTCGTTTAGCATTTAATTTTTCTGTGGTTCTTCACAAAAACGAGGAACGAGTAACCTTTCCCCATAAATGCCGAGGACCGAGTGACAGATTGCCTGTATTTCTGGGAGTGCAGTGGGCGGGTTGGGGTCAGGTCAGCAGCTCCTGCTCCTGCTGGTCCTCCTACGGTTGGGAGCACAACTCATAATTCATCCGGATAACAACGATGGAGGAGGTCCTGTTTTCTGTTTGCAGTTTTACTGCTGAAGGGCTGAACCGCCGTTGGTGACGTTTTGACACCGTTTTCGGTGCGGCGATGATATGGCATTCATCTTGACAGCCATAACTGCCTCCGATGCCTGCCTGGCTGCCTGTCTGCCTGCGTGTGTGTATGTCCTTTCGTGCCCCCAATCATGATCATGATGATGATGATGATTTACTCTGTCCCTCGGAATGTCCTTTCTTTCTCTGTATGTAGGTGCGTGTGTGTGTGGCAGAGTGTTGTGTTCGTGATGCATTTACGTCACTTACTTGAATGTTGCAACGCATTTTCGGTCACCCAAAGCACAAACACACGCAGACGCAAGGACACATGACAAACATAACACCACCCACTGATGGCGGAGCAAGGACATGCCGGCCGTAGAAGCAGCGAGCACCAGAGACTGAAACATGTTGCGTCGTTGGCAGCAAAACCAAAAAATGTCCTTGACACTTAATTCACGCCGCATTAATGTGAACTGAAACTGAATGAAGTTGTTCGTCGTTGTGCCAGGCACAGTGGTTTACAAAGGCTACTTTTTATTTTCATTTTCTTAATATGCATTGTTAGACTTGGTACTGATTGTAAAAAATTGAAAATATCTGGAGTTTGAAAGACATAAACAATCAATTTTATTTATTCATAACAATTTAATTGATGGAATCCTGCAGGAGATATTTATTTAAATATCTAATTTTAAAGAGTTCTATTAACTTACTTTTTCCCGGGCTTGATCAGCTTCACCATTCGGACTATGCTGACTCCCTGACTTCCATTCTTGGCCATTAGCGAATTAACAAATGTGCTGCGAACTATGACTACTTTGGAGCTTCCCGCCATATTTATAAATATTTCTAGAAAAACTGAACAAATTTTGTACTGTCTATATCGTTGGGATTATTTTGAATATTATTACTCCACAAATTAGACTTGAAAAGCAATGAATATTTGATGCGCGATATATAAATATTTTGACTCACTGTCGTGCAACTCATTCTCAGGCATGCTCTAAAAATAGTGTACTGAAAAGTTTAACCTCAAAAACACTTTTCCGGCAATGATCTCTCTATAGCCCACCCAACCATTCTCATGGCGGGTCCTCCTCTGAACCTAACCCATGTTTTCACAACACTTTTCATGGCATTGCCCACTCTTAGCTCCCAGATCCCAGCTCACAGCTCCAGTCCTCTCATCATCATGTGACCAAAGTGAAATGCAGGCAACACATTGCATTCCCATTCCTGTGGACATGCCGAAAAATGCTCGTAAATTACTGGACAATGTGGAGTGGCGAAGGTTGCAGATTGCAGTTGAAAGAGGGTATGACTAAGGAGGATACTTGGCAAATATAAACATCAGCAACTACGAAGCGGCAACAACTAGAACGGCAACACCAACACCAACAGCAACACCATCAGCAACAGCAACAACACTCATCGCTCATGTTGGTGATGATGCATTTTGCGGTCTGTCACACCAAATGCAATTTGACGGAGCTGTGCAAAAACTGTTTTTCGAGCTATCAACCAATTTGGCCACGGCTGCACGCCAGGCCACACATTGTCCACAGGTCTACGTCCGGCATCCCCCAAATAGCTCTTTCCGTACAGAGTCATCCATCCCGGGCACTGCCATCCACCGTTTTGTCTCATCCCCATGAATGCCGTATCATGACTGGGGTCCATCCTCTGACGCATCCTAGATGCTTTTGCTGTTGCTGCCCCTGGCTGTTGATGTTGCTGCTGTAACTGTTGCTGATGCTGTAGCTGTTGCCACTGCGATGGTGCTACTGCAGTTTGTACACGCACCCAAATAATCTGTTTCTGTACGAGTGTTGGGTATGCCTTGGGGATGAGGCTTTTGGATTTTCGATTTATTTTTTAAGATTTGCAAGGTCCTGAATTAAAATAAAAAAAAGTTTTAACTATGTATCAAAAACTAACGATTTTAAGGGTTTATTATATCTTCTGATAGGAACTTTAAGCAAGTGATCTTTACAAGGGTATCCTAGTCCTTTTATCCTTGCTGTTATCATGTTGAATTTTTTTAGCCTTACAAGGCCGCCATCCTTTCGTTAGATGTCCTTTTTTGGATTTTATGTGTTTTTAGTTTTTTTTTTGGCCAGTGCCAGTCCTCTCTAATATCTCGTATGTGTGTTTTAGTGCGTTCATGTGGCCGGGATGATGTCCTGGTTTTGTCCTGGCCCGAGTGTGTTTATGTTGGCGGATTCATGTCGTCACTGCGTGAAATGTGTGTGGCAGACGAGGGGGAGGCCCCACAAGCCTCGCTCTGGCTAGTTTCGAAATTTATGTAGCGCTGGTGAGTTGGTTTTATTTTTCTCGCTTATTTTTTTGAGACCCCCCGACTACTGTTTGTTATCTGTGCTGGAGCTGGAGCTGGAGTTGGAGCGTCACGACCATTAACTACCATTGTCCGTGCCCAGTGCCCAGTACCCAGTATCCAGAGTCCTGTGTCCAGCTTCCACATGTCAGAGACAAGTCGAGCACTCCACCGTCGTCGCATGGTCGTAAATGTCAGAGGCGCGTGTTCACCAGGACAGTAAATGTCTTCAACTGCAATTATTTGGCCTCCTTTCAGGACTCGTCCCCCATCATCCCCACACTTTTCTATTTCGTAAAATTTGTGGCGCATCCCTAGCTCATAAATCATGCATTGTAATTAAAGTTAGTTGCATTTATTTATTCATTGAGCTTTTTTCCTTTGTCGATCGTCTTTTACAAATTGTACAATAATGGGGCACTGCAGTTAACCGATTTATTTGTTAAGGTGCCCGGGCCCATCAGTCAAGGATTTCGCTTTTAGCTGACTCAGTTCCCATTCAATCTGGCCAGCAATTTATTGCCGATCATCATGCGACGCGCCAAGTGGATAAGTATGTGGGATACTAGTACTTCGTATGGGAAATGGCAAGGGCGTCTCCTCAAACAAATCATCTCTTGTCACAATATTGACGTTTACCTGGCTGGACTAGAAGAAGCCCTACAACTTTTGCTGCACTGGGAAAACACCCAGATAGTTTATTCTTTTTGAAATTTAATTTGCAACTGATCGAATCATTAAACTGGAAATGGACAAAGACAGGTCTATATTTTTAATTCAAACATTACCAGGAGCCATCAAAAAGTTAAAATAGAATCTGAGCTGTGCAACCAATGCCTTACCATCTTGGTTCTCTTTATTAAGCCTTCTGTCCGGAACAGACATTGCTGGGCCATTGCCATCGTCCTGAGCCAGGAAACTCCATGATTGGGTGGAACAACCACTCTTCAGAGACTTCATGGAGATACATCTGAAGAGCGAGAGGCGGGGCATTAGCTGTTGGCCTTGTAATAGCAAACGGATATGTTACGTTTACTTCCTTCTTTTTTTCTGCAAGGGGGGGAGGTTATTATCCAATTTTGTTCACTTGATTGACTGCACTTTTGATGTTGCTGCCAAGGCCACAAAACCTCAATGCAGATGCAGCGCCCCCTTGCAACATCCTCCACCCTCCCGTTACGGACATCAGTGCGGCAGTCAGTACTGTAGTATGTGGCAAGCACCTCGTCCAGTTTCGACGTCGTCGTCCAGAGTCCCTTAATGGACTTTCGCAATCAGCTGTCAATGCCTCGCCCAGCATCGCTTCGGTTATTTATTTTTGCCTCAGTGCCAAGTGTCACCGACTTTGCAGCGATTCCATCAATCAATCGCTCCGAATTATAAATAACCAAAACCACCTCGGGGCCGCCATCCGATTGCCAGATTGTGAGAGTGCACTGAGAGAAACAAACGATACTACCAAGTTATTTTCAGATATTTTTTTCAACAAAGATGTACTGTTTTTATGACCTTTAGGTAATAATTTACTTTTAATATTTCTGAAATTTTTTAATAGTATTTCTCATATTTTTCTTTCAGTGCCATTTGTGTGAATGACTGACCTGGGGCGTGCCTGTCCGGCAGCGGCGAGATGGTGACGATTTTGAAAAATTGCCAATCAAAGAAAAACCGCAAAGAGTTCCAAGTCACGTTGCAGTTGACATCCCAGCCACTTCGCTCCGTGGCCCAAAAACAAAAGAAATGTGTTCCTGGTTTTGCCACTTTTTCGATGATTCCTTTGCCCACCCCTCCGGATGGCATACGTCCTTCGATATTTCTGACGAATTACTCACACAGATAGCGAATGCATTTGGCAATTGTCAAATGGCGTCGAAAATATGGCAAATTGTTTTTTCGGGATGTTCGCTTAATTTCTTCGATTGTGATGGACAATTTGATTCTATTGTGCACTTCAGATGCCATTAAATGTGCCAATTTATCCGGTATTCGAAACTATTTGCTTAGACCAATATTATTGTTATTTATCTTTGTTAGATATGGAACAAGAATGTTGGTTTTTCGTTGCTGGGGGGTGGCTGACATGGTAATTTTTGTTATTAATTAGAGATTGTACAAAAAACTTCCACTGGCCTTTCAAAATGCCCCCCTTTGACTTTCACTTCTCTGATCTGTTTTGGGAGATACAAACTCATGTCAAGTGCATCGAATCAATCAAAGCCCGTTCCCCAACAAGCCTGATGAATGGGCCAAGAGGCCTGGCCCTCTCCGATTGTATCGCATGTCTAATGATGAGAAAACAATAACAGGGGATTGAGCAGAAGAGGCCTCAAGTATCTTGAAGATAGCATTGCGCATTGGCACTTGCACATTTATCGCTTACATGAAGAAAACTGTGTGCAGACAAATTTTGAAGTGTCTCGATAATGTCAATATCATCGTTGTATACCTTGAGATGGGGGCCTGGCTGGATTCCAATATCCAATAACCAATTCCATCGAACTGGGCCCGATTTCACCGGATTGACAGGCATCAGGCAGCTTGGATATATTCAAAATCAAAAATCCGCGCAAACAACAATCGAATGCATTCGCACTCGAGATCACATTCGAGAGATTGTGATCGGGTTGGAGTTGTGGAGAAGCTCTGTACTCCGGCCTGTATCCCCGGCAACATAGTCACTCAGGCCAACTCGATGCCATCAATGTCATTATCAATATCAACAACATGATTGGACACAAAAACTGAAATCTGAAAATTGAATACTGGAAACTGGAAACTGAAAAACAGAAAACGAAACTCTGGGCAATGAATATGAATCGAATCGATCTCGAGATCATCGTCGTCTACAATGTGTAAACACAGACGCACTAACTGCACTCAATCAAAAATTTGATTATTTTGATATGCACGATGCTTGAGATGCTCCCTGGGCCCCCGTCCTTCCACCCTCCCAGGTCGAAGTGGCAAACGGAGGAAAGGGGAAAAAATAACACCAGCAACCAACAGCAACATAAACACACACGCACCCTCACCACCGGATCGGAGCAGCCCAAGTGTCGAGGGCCTATATCAACAAACGGGCCTAGAACCACACAGCCGCACAGTCTTGGCCACAATTGCAGCTGCCTGGAACTCATCGGCATCAGTATGGGACCTGAATCGGAATCAGAATCAAAATCAACCACAGACCATCCAGCCAGCCAGCCAGCCAGCCTACCTCGGCATCTGCATCTCAATCTGCTTGTCAGCGTATCCATATCCATGATATTCGTGGAAATTCCACTTGAGCGCCTCAATTGTAAGAGAATACGAATTTAATTGCAGAACACAAACACCTAAACCCTCCACGAGAAGACCTCGATGGCTGTGGGATGCGTAAATAAAGGGGCAAGAAAATATCGGGGGCCCGTGCGGTAAGGTGTGAAAGATCACCACTGTGACCCAATGTGCCATTGAGGTTTTCCTGCGAACTCTTGCCCAGCCAGCCACAACTTTGCTCTCATTTCAAAACCTTACAATGTAATACGTAAATACTCACCAGTTGCTAGGGGTACGAAATGTACTAATTTTTATATAATAGGAAACCTATGTAAAATGGGCAATGGGATTCTAGACTCTAGAGAATTGCTGAACGATCCCGTTCAAAAGTCTTAAAAATTCATGGGAACAAAATATGGCCTCCAGAGATAGCCATATCTCTTCAAATAACTATACGATTCTTGCGGGGATTACCTTAAACGTTTTATTGATCAATTCCCCAGCAAATTGCATCAAAATCTGCAACCAAAACATTTTTTAAATTTTTTGTCGATTTTTCTGGGGGATCCCCTTCAAAAAGGTACAGAAATGCATCCAGCCACAATATGGCCCACAGCGATGGCCATATCTTTGTCAAAAATCATCGGATTCTTGAGGGGAATACCTTAAACGATTTCTACATCGATTCTCTATCAATCTGCATCAAAATCTAAGAACCAAAAAAATTTTAGATTTTTTGTCAAATTTTCTGGGGGATCCCCTTCAAAAGGTTAAGAAATGCATCCAGCCACAATATGGAACACAGCGATGGCCATATCTTTGTCGAAAATCATCGGATTCTTGAGGGGAATACCTTAAACGATTTCTACATCGATTCTCTATCAATCTGCATTAAAATCTAAGAACCAAAAAAATTTAAAATTTTTTGTCAAATTTTCTGGGGGATCCCCTTCAAAAGGTTAAGAAATGCATCCAGCCACAATATGGCCTACAGCGATGGCCATATCTTTGTCAAAAATCATCGGATTCTTGAGCGGAATACCTTAAATGATTTCTACATCGATTCTCTATCAAGCTGAATCAAAATCTAAGAACCAAAAAAATTTTAGATTTTTTGTCAAATTTTCTGGGGGGTCCCCTTCAAAAGGTTAAGAAATGCATCCAGCCACAATATGGCCCACAGCGATGGCCATATCTTTGTCGAAAATCATCGGATTCTTGAGGGGAATACCTTAAACGATTTCTACATCGATTCTCTATCAATCTGCATTAAAATCTAAGAACCAAAAAAATTTAAAATTTTTTGTCAAATTTTTTGTGGATCGCCCTTCAAAAAGGTACAGAAATGCATCCAGCCACAACATGGCCCACAGCGATGGCCATATCTTTGTCAAAAATCATCGGATTCTTGAGGGGAATACCTTAAACGATTTCTACATCGATTTTCTATCAATCTGCATCAAAATCTAAAAACCAAAAAAATTTTTGATTTTTTGTCAAATTTTCTGGGGGATCCCCTTCAAAAGGTTAAGAAATGCATCCAGCCACAATATGGCCCACAGCGATGGCCATATCTTTGTCAAAAATCATCGGATTCTTGAGGGGAACACCTTAAACGATTTCTACATCGATTTTCTATCAATCTGCATTAAAATCTAAGAACCAAAAAAATTTTAGATTTTTTCTCAAATTTTCTGGGGGATCCCCTTCAAAAAGGTACAGAAATGCATCCAGCCACAATATGGCCCACAGCGATGGCCATATCTTTGTCAAATATCATCGGATTCTTGACGGGAATACCTTAAACGATTTCTACATCGATTCTCTATCAATCTGCATCAAAATCTAAGAACCAAAAAATTTTAGATTTTTTGTCAAATTTTCTGGGGGATCCCCTTCAAAAGGTTAAGAAATGCATCCTCCGAAATACAAGCTCAAAATATAAACAAAATCCTTCTGATATTAAATCGGCCAATTTATTACATTTCGCTTTGAATAAAAATAGAAAAACGAGAGTAGGAAAAAGCTCATTAACCTTTATTTGTGTACTCAACTATTCGTGCACTCGAGGCGCTCTTTAAATAAAGAAACCAATGAATATAATAAAAAAAAAGAAACCAAGCCACGCTGGGCCAAGCAAGACCTTCTCAAGAGGCTAAAATGGATTGGAAACTATAAAGAATCGATCCGTTTGAACCGATGATATGTCATATATGTGCACCATTGTGCCGGTTGGACTCGATTCCGTAGCAGCCACTCAAGACTCGAAGCAATTCGAGTTCGGATTCGGGTTTGACATGTTTGATTTGTTGCCGTGATTGATTGATTGCTGCGACTCGCGTTTACTCGGGCACTTCAAGTAATGATTTTCGATTTTGCGCAGCCCGACGAACCAAACCAAAACCAAACCAAGCCAACCCGAACCAGGCCGCATGATACAAGAAATTCTCCTCTGGATTGGTTCCCACAAATAATGACATGGCGACTTTGGCGAAACGGACAAGATTGAAGGGGCCGTGTCTGCGGATCAGTAACTCTGATTGACAACTTCACTGTGTATCTCGGGGTATATCCCATACTATATAGTAATGGGGGAGGGGGAGTCGAGTGAGGTGCGTGCGTGACTCTGTTGCAACCAGGTGAAATGTAACCTAAATATACCCCAGCCGCCCAGGACCCCAGGCCCAGGCCCTGCCGACTAATCAACAATGCATCGATATCGCAACTTGAAGTTTTCAGTAACGGCTATGGTTTCAGTTACACTCGAAAAAAAATACATAAAATGCAACTAGAAGGGACAACAAAGAAGCTATAGTTATGCACCTTTTAGTAGTAATTATTTTGGTTAGTGGATTTGACTTTGTTGCTGTTCCCGTGAACTGCCATCACCATCGCTTGCCGATATCTGTTTTAAAATAAGCCACGCAGAGTCGGCTCTGGGCCGTCTTCGTCCTCATCCTCGTCTGGCGCTATATCTTTAGCATCTGTGGCCATAAATAAGCCGAGGACAGTAGAATGTTTCGATGCCGAAGCCCTTGGTTTGGAGAGCCTTTCCAGCCCTTCTGACATACGAGTAACTAAAGTAGATTTTTTTTTAGCCTTTTTGGGGTTTGGGTCACGTGTAGTAATTTTTTTAATTTGAAGGTTAGGATATTGTTAAGTGTTGGGCCAATAATGGTGTTTTTTTTAACCACTTATTAAATATTCCAAAACAAAGTATCAACCCAAGCTATCGAATTTCAAGCCATTTCACCCAAGACCCCATTGAAATTAATTGCAATTAAAGAAAGCCATACTGAAAATGTTTTTCACTTGGCCTAATGCAAATAACAAAGCCAATTAGACAACTGGCTAACTGATTCGACAACTTCGACGGGTTCCGTTCCGTTTCGCTCAATCCCAGCCAAATCTCACCTCAGATGCCAAACCAAACTCGTGAACTGTCAGCATCAGCATCAGGCTGGCCAAAAAAAAGACAGATGGAAGGAAAAAAGGAAAGAGAAACAGCCTTGCGTGTATGTCGCGCACTTTCATATCAGTCAAGACGAATCTTGGCCAACGCCGTACAAGCCTGACAAGACCCTGCTGGCCGAAAGTGAGAAGCCGCAGCAAAGAGATTTTAATTACATCTACCTGGCATACTACTCGGATATATGTATGAGACTGACTTTACGACTGGGCCTCGTCCGACTGCCTGGCAATTATTTACATTAACACGATCACAACTCAGAGACACTGCACATGCATCATCGTGTTGCGATGTCGATCGAGATCTCGAGACTCAAGACTCCAAACTGCAAACTGCAAAAGTTCGGAGTCTGGAGTCCGGACTCCAGATTGCAGACTCCAAGATGCAGACTTGCGGATCGAAAGCCAGACAACAGCCGACGACGATGTCTGTGTGCCTGCCATGTATGCATATTAATTTATTGGAATCATGTTAGTGAGTCGATATTGATACAAATCCATTTTCGATCGCGTCGCCCCGATACCGAAAACCAAGAGGGATATGGCAGACCCATGCTGGGTCCCTGAAGTTGGCAGCAGACATTACACAACGCTACCAAAACGCTGCAATGTCAGTGGGCAGAAGCTGCCGCGGTCTCTGTTTGCCTCTGGCAGCTTCTGTCTGTTTTGCCACTGCCCCTTGTTGTCCCCTTGCCCCATGCCCCGTGTCCCGTGCCCCATGCCCTTGCCCCAGGTCCACCATCAGTCCCCATCCCCCGCACATCGCATGCTCAGCGACCGTATTGAGCGTTAATCGCTCGACTATCATGCGATTACGAAAACAGGGAACTAGGGAACTCAGAATGGAAGCATCTCCACCTTGACAGGCTTCGATGTTTCGCTGTTTTTTTTTTCTAATTAAATTCAATTGATTAAACATTTGATTTACGACAGCCAGAAATGTTTGCCCATCGTCCCAGGCAGCAAGCATTTTCGACTGATCAGCGTTTATCTTGATCGCACTAGACAGTAATTAAAAGTTGTCTAAAGTTAAGGCTATTTAAAGTTTATTGTCTATTAATTAAATAATTCCAAAATGTATATTTATCGCTGACACTTCATTCCATTTTTTATGATATTAGGCCCAAGCTCATCAAAGTTTTTTCTCTTCAAAGATTGATGCGATCTAGTTCCAGAGTTTTTCGGAGAAAAGTGATAATATCGGTGGCCTCTTTGATACGCATTTTAGTGGGCTTTCCGGCCCCATGTCCTGCCTTTGTATAGACTCTCAATAATATGGGATTTAGTTGATATTCCGAGTGGCGAGCAGCTTCCTGCAGGGCAGCCGCAAACTTGAGGGAGTGCAAGGGACTTACACGGTCGTCATGGTCGCCCGTTATGATCAGGGTGGAAGGATACTCCTGATTGGGATTCAGGGGTATCTGGATGTTGTGCAATGGCGAGTACTTGTACAGATTGGCAAAGGCCTGTCTCTCGCCAGGATTGCCGTAGTCGGTTTGCCAGGCATGGCCTATCGTGAACTTGTTGAATCGCAGCATATCCATGACCCCCACCTGGGCAATGGCTGCCCCAAAGAGATCCGGTCGCTGGTTGATGCAGGCTCCGACCAAGAGGCCACCATTCGATGCTCCCTGTATGGCCAGACGCTCCTTAGTTGTGTATTTGTGCTTGGTTAGATATTCGGCGGCAGCTTGGAAGTCGTCAAAGACATTCTGTTTGTTTAACAGCCGACCCCCGTTGTGCCACTCAGTACCGTATTCGCCACCGCCTCGAATATTGGGATAGGCCAGGACCCCGTCGAAGGTGTCCATAAACATGATACCTGTATTACTCAACGACGGCATCAAGCTGTAATTAAATCCTCCATATCCATACATCAAGCATGGTCGCGGGTCTACCGTATCCTCGGCTCTTTTCCTCCGGATGATGAACATGGGAATCCGGGTCTCATCCTTGCTCTCGTAAAACACCTGCTCCACACTGTAGTCGTCCCGGTTGAAGCCCTCCAAATTGAGAAGCGTTTCCCGTAGGATCTTGGGTTTCTCCGCCGGCTTGGCAAAGTCATAGCGGTATATGATTCCAGGCGTTAGGAAAGAGCTGAAGCTGTAGAAGATCTCGGAGTATTTCCTCTTTCCGGAAACTCCGTTCACAGTGCCAATATCTAGACCGAACTGCCCCGTAATTTTTCCCGTGTGCAGCTCATAGGACTGGAGGATGTGTTTGACGTCCCTGTTGTAGCAAACTACCAACTTATTTTGGTGAACGCACATGGCCCACTCGAGGACATCCTTGTTGTGCTCCGGAATCACAGTCGTCCAGTTATCCTCGGCGGGACTCGCAAAGTCAATGACAACCACCCGATAGTTTGGAGCTCCCTTGTTGGTGTGCATATACATTTTGGAACCCTCGTTCGTGATATACTCGTAGTCGGCTTCCAGTTTATCAACAATCGGTTTCACATCGAGCTTGTCTGTTATATCCTTCCCTGGTTCCAGATTGGCGTAGTAAACCATATTGTCCCGAGTTGTCGGACTTACGGATAGAATCAGATACTTCCCGCAGTCAGAGACATCGGATAGAATGCGCCACGAGGGATTTTCGGGGAATTCGGCAACCAAAGTATCATCCTCCTGGCTTTGCCCCACCCGATGGTAGTACAACTTCTGGAACTCATTCTGCTTGGTTTCCGAGCCATCGGTTTTGCCCTGTTGATTCGGATAGCGACCGTAGAAGAAGCCCTTGTTGTCCTTGGTCCAGGATATGTTCGAGAACTTGACCTTTTCGAGAATCTCCGGAAAATCTGTGCGATCGGCGGCCTTGCGTATTCGGATTTTAATCCAATCGGATCCTTGTTCGCTCAGCCCATAGGCCATGTAAGCACCGTTCTCGGAGAAGGTCTTCTGAGCCAGAGCTGTGGTTCCATCGGCAGCCAAGATATTGGGATCAAGGAACTCCACCTCTGGGCCGTCCAACGTCTCCTGTTGCATCAGGACACTTTGGTTCTGCAGGCCCGTATTCTTGAAGAAATAATAAAACTTTCCGTGCCTCGCGGGACAACCATATTTTGGGTAATCCCACAGCTTTGTCAACTTTCCATGAATAGCTCCCCAGTCCTGGGTCTTCTCCAGAAAGGGCTTACTGATGGCATTCTGGGCATTTATAAAACGTTGTGTCTCCGGGGAGTCTGGGTCCTCGAGCCATCGGTAGACGTCCCTTATCCGGTAGTCGTGAACCATCTCCTCCATCATTACATCCCTCCTCGCCTCGGGATATACGATCTGGGGAATCTCCGGAACCCTAGCGGTACTAAAGTCGGAGGGATGATCGACCTTGGGGCCAAGCATGTTGTTCACTTCGGCTGAAATATTTTTCTGGACGATGTTTTTTTCAAGGCGAGGTTTTTTGCGCATAAATCGAACAATAAATTTTCGCATTTGGTATGAAATGGAGAATGTGTGTAGGGAAGTTTAGAATTTTGAATTTTAATGAATTTTATATTGACAGTCCTTAAAAGCCCACTCCCCCATTTTCTATTGCCCTTCGTTCTATGACAAATGTAGTTGAACTTCCTGGCTTGTCCAACATCCATCATCGCTGGACCAACTTTCCTTTTTGGGATTTATTTCCTTCTTTCTGGCCAGCCGACTTTAATCAGCGCCATGTCGCACTAATTGCAGCAATTAATTGTCCGAAAAAAAAATGTTCATGGCCTGAAACGTGATGAGTACAACTTTCAGCTGCGAATTGATGGAACCCAGCTCGTGGGAGAGGGATAAGGGATTAATCTAGTGGCTTGGGAGTCTACATTGAATTATTGAAATTCCTGGACTATGTGTGTCCGAGGCTGAGTATTTTCTGACCCAAAAGTAAGGCCAATACCGCGACATATTGACATCTCGGGGACGCTCTGGCTGGTGGTGTTGCTGCCAAAGATCTGGAGTCGTTGCTGCTGGACCGGCTGTAAGCCTAAGCATGCTGAGCATGTCAACAAGCCGGGTCTACACACATCCAGGGCCGGCATGGGGAGGGGTTACAGCCAGGGCTACAGGGTAGCAGGGGCAACAAGTCAAACGCGCTGACAGCCAACATGAGCGCAACAGCAGCGGAGAACAGCAGTAACAAGGGCGGCACTGGAAGAAAATTTAATGAAAAATTAAATAAAAAGTTATGAGATAATAAACCTACCAAAAGAGACCTTTAAATGCTAAAGAGTTCATTTGAATTTTGATTAAAAAACACTGAGTCCTGCTTCAGTGTCTTATTAATATTTAAATTATTAATCTCTTTCATATCCTTATATTGAATGTCCTTTTCTATAAAGTTTTTTTTAGTAATTTTTTCTCAGTGTACAAATTGGTAGCCAGAGATCGTTCCACGCTGTTGCATCGATTGGATGCTGAGCTCGATGATCGTCATTGGGGATTTGTAGCTCGATCGAAATCGAGATTCTCAACTTTTGCTCATCTTCATCTCTGCTGTGATCAGAGGCACGCACACCACAGCCCCACATACACACACTATGTTTCAGAGTCCTGTAGTGTATTATGCAGAGTATGGAGATGAAACCGCGTGTGTTTTTGTCGCAAATCGCCAAGATTGCGATCTCATTAAAGCGAATTATTTGTGTTGCTGACTATGTTCTGGCCCGTTGCATCTCTCACTGCTGCGTACTGCGTTGTCCCTATCTCCGTTTCTCTCGTTCTCCGTTTCACTGGAGAATCGGTATCGATGCTCCTGTAGCTGCTCCTGCATTCACGATTCTTATCGCTGGAACAAAGTTGTTGGCCCAGGGCGACGCGTTCCGACGCTGCGGTTGCCTCCAGTCAGCGATTTGCCAAACGTTTAGGTCCAAGCAGCCCCAGTCCAATTCCAACGACTGAAATGTGCGATTAACGCTCTGCCACTGGCCATAATTTATGCCCAGGGCTTTGTCAATAAGTTTCAGGCTTTTGTCACACGATCGCCCAAATGAATGCTAATTCAGATGGAAAGTTTTCAACGAAAAAGGATAAGAGGATTTATTTAATTATTTTCTATTTCAAATCCCTAATTTGGAGAGTCTTTGAAAAATCATATCAAAATATAAAGTCTCATTAATTTTGATGGATTGAAAGTGTTAATTAACCTTCCACAATCAAATAGTGGAGGAATACTGCCTTGCTTAGAAACACACTTTTCCTCCATTTATATTCCTCTATTTCCATTTAAGTAAAATCACTGCGGACATATGCCCGGCCGTATATTTATCACTTTCGCTGCTCAGGTTTTGCTATTTAGAGGAAGCCGCAGAGCTCATCAATCTGAGAACCGCCAGTCTCCCTCCCATCCGCCTCTGGAAAATGTATCTCACAGATACGCAGCCACAACAGATGGGAATGGCTTTCGCACAGTGTAGTGTTCGGTGTGGATGTGGATGTCCCACGAGTCTAATCAGGCTGTAATTTGAAGGACAAGGCGGCGACCAGCCATCAAACTGCTTGAGTTCTGCCTCTGACTTATTGCAGGTGACTCTTTTTTACGACTTTTGCCAGGCAGCTCACCCCTTTTCCCGGTGCCTTTTGATCCATTTGGGTTTTTTGTTCTCGGACCGGACATTTGGCAAATGAATGGCCAGTGATTTGGTTTTGGTGTGGCTGGGCAAATGAATGAATTAGTTCCTTGGAGACGAGTCCCCCGAGTTGATTGATGTTCCCAAAGCCAAAGTCCAAAGTCCAGAGTGCAAGGTCCAGAGTTGAAACTTTTTGCCTTATTGATAATAAATTGTATTTGGTTAAAAATACCCCTTTAAATATTTATTTTAATTCGGAATTGAAATATCGCGTTGAGTTGGCCGTTGAGAGATTTATGCGTTTGCATCAAACTGTGAGATATATGGCCGACACCCCGACACCCCAATCGAGAACGCATAATGAGAAAAAATCGAGGAAAATGTTTACCTTACAGACTCCAAGCCACGAGATAAATACTGATGTATAGAGTTTCCTCCGGCATTGCGTAGTTCTCCGGCCCTCCAGCCCCGGAATCTTAATGAGGTTGAGGGATTGGGATTTGGCAATTTGCTACCATGACTCCAAAAGCCCAGAATCCGAGTGACCAAAATGGCTTGGCCAAAAAGACACGTGGCCCCCGAAAAACCTGCTCATGCGTGGGGATCGTATCGGATCGGCTTTTGGCTAGTTTTCTATTAATTACACTGATTTATGTGCTCATTGTCCATTGTATTGTGAGCTGCCGGTATTGTGGCACTGGGACTCAGTGCTGGCAGTGAGCTCTCCTTGCCTCCTCCATGACTTTATGATGGTTAACTCTTTTTAATGGCACACGGCACTGCAACGCGAGGGAGTGGAAAGCGGCAAGCACTTTTCCATTGTTATAGTTTTTGGCCAAAAGAAAGTTGATTACGATTCTCGATATTACCGCTGTGGGCTGCTGTGGGAGATGCCAACCGATAAATATGGAAGTTGGCCGAAATCTATTGTTGACCAATTTAAGAACACATTAGCCGCAACTTTGAATCGCATCGGCAGTTGGCCGAATCATTGAATAAACATTTCACTTCCCGGCTTCCCAGACTCAATTTGCAAGCCCCGCAGCCCAAACCTAAAGAAACTAGCAAAATGCCAGAGGATTTGAAACGGATGTTTGCAGCCAGATGCAGATGCAGATACAGATACAAATGTAGTTGCAGATACAGATACGGATACACATACGCAATCTCTTAGTACGCTGTCTGTCTCTGTCAAAATAAATTTGAGGCATGAAACGAGCACATGAGCCCAGAGCACAGACTCGGCGAATAAATCAGTCCGTAAACATAAATAAAACAACACAGATCATTTTTAGTTTTTCCTGCAGATATCAGGCATGGAAAATCTCATCGCAATCGCCTTCGTCATCTCTGACAATAGGCCAGATTCTATCTAAATTATGGATCCAGACAGCAACAACAAAAACATTAACGCCTTATAAATAATAATTTTTACGATGCCACAACTAATAATTATGGCCAGATGCAAGTTTTTGCAACAAGATGCAAAATTTCAAGAGGAAATTTATAGAAAAATGTAAAAGCTATAGGAAGAGGGCTATGGATGGAGTAACCCTGGAAGTCTACTACTTTTTCAGGTAAAGTTTTGCCACCCATTTAAGCCAATCACCACCAGACCCCTCATTCTGCACTCGAAACAAACAAATAAACATCGAATGGAGTCCCCGCTACCGCCCTTAAACGGATATCCCAACAGTCTCTGTTCACTTTTGTGTATCTTTTGGATGCGGACAAGCCGCGATTTGTGGCATTTTGATTCCGCTGCTGGCTGGTGTCGGGAGTGTTTGTCGATATTTGAATTATTTCCATCGCCACTTGGCCCAACAGGGGAGCTAGAGTGGGCCAGGGTGTGGGTATGGACGATGAGCATGACGATGATGGGTCTGTGATTCTGTTGTGGGCCACTTTTTGGCCACAATTGTGTGGCTCAGCTTTGCATTCCGCCCTCCAGAAACCCCATCCGATCCAATGGTCGCCCGTTGTTGTAAATCAATTGGACGCTGAGTGCCCTAATGTGCTGACGATGGGTTTACAATCCGTCAAAACAGTTACCACGGACACTGGGCACACAGGCTGCAAGTGCATCATTGCCACCAGCGACCTATTAGCCATAGCTCCCAAATAAACAATCAATCTGGAGAGGGTCTTAAATGCCTTCTAGGAATCCAATTGAAAATTCCTAGCAGGTGGTAGTCAAAAATTAAACAATTAATAGACTCTAGAGAAGTAGTTCTTGGAGAGACTAATATATAATTTTTAAGAATTTAATTTCAAAGCAACTTCAATCCTCAGAAGATCAACTTTGCCCACCAGTGGCAGCAAGTCTGAAGCTTACCACTTCGAAGTAGCTTCAAACCTGTCAGGTAGCTTTTTTTCAAGAAGCCAAAAAGCTAAAAAAAAAAAAAAAAGAAACTGAAGAAAAATGTAACAATGGCAGCAACAGCAGCAAAACGATCAAAAGTTACACAGCCCGGCAATGTATCAATGTCAGAGTATCAGTGGCCCGAGGAATGGTTAATGGGTAATGGGATCCACCTTCCGACATGGGGTAAGAGAACCTCCCATTGGCGGAGGAGCTGGACCCGGAGGAGCTCTGCGATCCCATTGTCTTCTTGGGATTCGGAGGCCAGCCCAGATGTCAACTTTTTGAGATGCTCCCACTGGGCCTGGCTCGTCTTATTGGTGGATTCGGTTGCCCATGTTGGCCATTGTTTATCCGACATTCTTCTCCGGCTCGCCCCGATCTTCGCTCTATATGGACTTGCCTGGTTGTCGCTGTCGTCGCCGTGTCAAAAGCTGGCAAAAAAAAAGAAAAAAAACTTAGACAGTGCGAGGAAGAAATGTAATCGCATGCCAAACAAAAACACTCCATAAGAAATAATAAACAAATCATTTTGCCAACACCCGCCCAGACAGTTGGCCGTAGAATTCCTC